AACAAAACGTTTTGTTTGTTTTTAAAAACATTGGAACAAATGTCCCTCCATACATCTCCTGCTCTCATTGCCACACAGAGACCCACTAAGTCAGTCCACATGGGCAGGAAGGGATTCCCAGAAAACATCCAGCTGTGGACTTAGTGGGGGTTTTCTATCTGGATGCATAATTTACCTCAGGTGTCTTACAGAAACAAAACACACAGAATATGAAATAGCCTAAATGAAGGAGCTCATCTAAATAGTATTAAATTTCTTTCTTTCACTGCTATCATACAGATTTACATTATCATCACTGATGCTGTAACCATCCGTATCCCACAAGCAAACGATTTGACTAATCTCCTCCCAAAACCTCCGATGCTCTGACGTCTGTCAATCTAGAGGCAATCTGCAGCATGCCTTGCCTGCACAGCGCAGCCTGGCTGAGCGCAAACTACTCTCCCGGCTCCAAGGTGGCGATTTGGAGGAGAGCGCAGGAGAGGGAGGGCAAGGGGGAGATGCAAACTCTGCAGAAGTTGTTGGCTCCTCTTCTAAGGAGGGGAAAGCAGGTGGAATATCTGTAATCAGAGAGATATAAAGCGAGCTTACCTGCTCAGCAAGAAGACGCACCAACAAGACTGGCTTTCTGTTGCTGCTCCGCTCCTCTCACCTACACTAAATCACTCACATGACTCACACAGGCAGGAGGTGGAGGGGGGATAACCGGCTCTCAGCGTAAACAGTCTCTGCAAAGGCAGGCAGGGAGCTTTCGCTGCAGTGATGCTGTCTCCCATCCTTGCCTTCCCTCCTCTGTCTCATCCCTTTGCTTTGATCCTCCACCCTCCCACACACACACACACACACACACACACACACACACACTCTCCACCGCAAGGTGTTACAAACAGAGTTTGTCTGCATCCACTGCATCTGATTGGCTCCCCGTTCCTCCTCCGCCACCATTCTCTCCACCAGTTTCTGTCTCTGGACTGTCAGCCTTAAAGTGGCAATCCATCACTCTCAAAATGTGGGCGAGGAAAAGAAAAACATTCAATATATTAAAAACATTTTTTATGAGTTCCTTTGCATGTAAATCAAAAGTGAACGAAAAGCAAATAGGTTTCAGGACTCAGCTGGCGTGTGTGGTTTCCCTTTTCAACTTTTTTCCCCCTAGTTTTAGCCAAAAAAAACTAATGCATCTAATTGTGTTTTAGCTAAAAGACAAGTAGGAGGGGGTTTAATAATTACATTTTACATTTTTTATCGAAATGTACAAGGAAGGTCGGTGTGTTTTGTTTTTCACTGGAACAGAGAACAAAAGAAAATTAAACAAACAGGACAAGAGAACATCATTTGGTGTAACAAGTTGGCCACAATCCATGGAGGCAGAGTCCTAATCTAACAGATGAAAATTATTGTCCTATCTTAGTAAAACTGAAGCTTAAAGGTGATTGCAATTTCTATATAATGGGAAGAGTAAATTGTAAAGGTGAAAAATTAAAACTGGTCCAAGGGATGAATCAGTTATAGTCTCTTCTATCAGTGCATATCACGATAATAAATTAATTTAGCATTACACTACAAAAACTGAGCAAATAAAATATATATATACTTTTTTACCTTAATTTGAGTGGGTAATTATGATGGTCTACCTAAGAAGGAGGGACATTTCTCTTAAAAATAAGAAAATATAATAAACTTAAAATAAGTTCACAGAAGATTGTTTTTTTTGTTTTTGTTTTTTTTTTTTTAACATAAATGATCTTATTCCATTGGTAAATTGTCTAAATTACCTCCTCATAACAAGGGAAAATGCAATTATCTGAAGAAGAATTTACTTTTTTTGGTGAATAAACTACATTTTTGTAGTGTGTGTTTTCAGTTCAGGGGCCAAACCAGGGGCAGCACTAGTTCTATAGGGGCACGGCCCCTGTGGGCCCCTGTATCCTGTCAATGAGTAAAGGACATCCATACTCCTCTCTTATAGAATCAATATTATTTCTCAGATATATAAAAATTACGGAAAGGTGTTTTACTGTCACTTTAAACAGTTGTTCAATATCTTCCGATTTGATTTTGAATTCTGCTAATAGTATTAGCCCTTGTAAATATGATAAATAGTGAATAAAGTCAATTTTTTTGTGTGTCAATAGATATCTCATGTATAACAACTGAAGAAAACTTTGTGGCATTAGTGCAGTGTGGCTTTGTCTAAATCTACACAAGTTAGAAGCAATATGATTTAAAAAACTCTTGTAATGTTAGCCTTCCAGTGTTTATACTGTAGGTTCCAGCCCAGTAAATGGCCTCTAGTTAAAAGCGCTTTTCAAGTCAAGAGATTTGACCAAAGTGCTTTACAATCAGTCATTCCCTCACACACTGATAGTCGCAAGCAACGTTGCAGCTACAGCAGCTGACAGAAGGAAGGCCGCTATGCACAG